AGGGGGATTACCTTCACCTCCGGTAAGAATATTAGCATAATCATCACTAACCTCATTGTCAAGAAGAACCATATAAGTATTTGAGCTAGGTACTCCAGCCTCAACATGCCTTTGACCTTTCTTCTTAGACTTCCTATTAACCACCTTCCACTCTTCATTTTTTAAGCATTATGAGCAGGAGGATTGGGATGGCTCTTAGCAACATTCTACTGTCCAATATTATCCATAATATCCACTTGAGTAGCAACTGTCTTCTTTGGGACGCAAACTTTGTTCTCTTGTTGAGGTTGTTGTTTCTTATTCATCGATTGTTTCTTCTGAGCAGCTTCTTTTGGCTTTGAACAATCAAGCCCTAACTTATTGCACTTCTTACAAAAAGGAGGAGTCCATTCAAAAAGCACCTTAAGTTCAACCAGATCACCAGAAGGACTCTCAGTCCACATAATACTAGGTAATGGTTGTGTAACATCTACTTCAATAAGGAGCCTAGCAAATTAAAAGACACCCTTAACTGCCTAGAAGTACATTCATAAGCACATATTGGCACGCCAATTAAGCTACCAATTTTTCTCAAAGTATCAGTGTAACACCCCCAAATTTCCCTCTACGAAAATATTAGTATAACATGTATAATTATACTGTAGAGATAGATTTAGGCGTATTACCGCCGCGTGATTAAGCAAGGCTACTCAAACTTACTAACCAAAACCAATACTTTGCAGCGGAAACTTCAACTCTTTCTTTATTAATAAAAATATAAATAGTAACCATTGTCATGAGTACTCATATTTAAACCAAGACCAACAATCCTAATCTAGGTGAAAAATATTCCCGGGACTCCATATGCATAATTCTTGACTCCGCCTGAAATTAGTCAACATTGCTTACCGTTACGGTAAACAAGGCGAACCAAAACAAATAAGAAATACGGATTAGCAAAATATGCTAAGTACGATAAGTGCAAGATAAGTAAATTCAATTTATTTGCAAACATGCTTTTAAAACCAATCACAATAATCAATCCAATGAATTCCAAAACTCATGATTAAACCAATCCCCAATAATTCGATGAACGATTTATAAAATGATTCTAAAAACTCAATAACTCAATAATAATGATTAGTCAAATCAATTATTTTTGAAAACTCAATCTCCTCTCTAAGTGTGCACACCCCCCAAGCTAGTCTCCTACTATTTCAAGGCTATTCTTGGAGAAATACTAGGCCATACAAAGCCCATAGCCTTCAATGAATCCGCATAGTAGGATTAATATAATAATTATGCTTGTAAAGCTTTTTAAATAAATAATTCAATAATTCTCATGAAATTCCTCTTTGAATAAAATCAACCTTTGTAATAGGTTAACTCAAAACTCCTTTTTAATTAAATTCAACATGCTTTTAAAATCAACCTTTTAATAAATACTTGAGAATTAAATCTCATATTAAGAACATTTCAAAATCAATAATTCTTCCTTTGAAAAGCCTTTTATTTAATTCATCAAACTTTTCAAATCAATTCCTTTATTCAAACATGATAAGTAATTCAAAACATGATATAAAGTCAATCCTCCAATTTCTTTATCAAAACCAATCATTTAAACATGCTTTTATTTAATAAATCATAATTTAATTCAAATTAATTCAATCATCATAAAAATCATGCAAAACATGCTTATTCAACCCAACCAATTTCAAAAGTATCTAGCCACCTAACGTACCTTTGGTCCTTGCTTATCAAACACAAAGAAAGCACTTGGATCAAACACACCCTACAAATAAATATAACCTTAATTAATATAAGGTTAACAAATAATCACAACAATTAAATTAAAACCCCCTAAATATATTTACATGAACCTTTTAAATTATTTTCATAAACATGAATAAAAATCTGATTTTATGTAATTAAAACTACTCATAATAATTTTTATAAATCCCCCATAATAGTAATAATTAATTAAATAAGAGAAGAGAAGAAGAAGAGGTAGAAAACCAAGGAAAAGAGAGAGAAGAAGGTAGCGGCAAGGTGGGGCAGCCTTCTGGCAGGTGGCTGAAGGTGGCGGCTGGCGCAGGGGAGGGTGGCAGCCGGCGTGGAGGTGGTGGTCGTGGTGATTGGTGGTGGTGGTGGCGCAAGAAAGAAAAGAAAAGAAAAAGAGAAGAGAAAATTAAAGAGAGAGATTAAGAGAGAATTAGAGAATTTGATGTGAGTGTTTAGCCATGAATCAATGGGTATTTATAGGCTAGCTCATGCATGGATTATGGTAAAAGAATGTAGGAAGAATTGTGGTAAAAAGAATTAAGGAAATTACTTGGAGAAGAGTGTTAAAGAAATATGGAAAGTTTGAGATTAAGGTGATTAAGAATAATAAAATTAAGGAAAGTACGTTGTCATGAAAAATAATATGGCAAAGGAGGTTTACTTGGGGAATACTCAAGGATGAAATAAGGTAGGGAAATAAGATGATCAAATATTTAGGTGATGGGAAATAAAAATAAGCAAAATAATAATTTTTTGTGGAAGATAATTAAAAATACAAATTACCAAAATAATTCCCCCAAAAATCAACCAAGAGGGCCGAAAATATTGAGCGTCGATAGCTCAAATTTTCGGACCTCCTTAGTGTATTTTAGGAAATTATTTGCTAGATTTAAGGATTAAAAATAATTGTATGAATAATATTTATTGTATAAAATAATTAATTAAGCGAATACCAATTATTCACTTAATAAATTAATTAAGAAAATCAGATTTTCCACACTAGAAAAATCCGAAATTATTATCCATTTAATAGGAATTTTCGGACCTCCTATTTAAATAATAAAATATAGTTTTTGCTTAATTAAAATATCCGAAATATATAAATAATCCGGTTTTTAAAATAAAATAAATGGATAATAAATCTTATTCAAAATCGAAAAATAATAATTAAGTTTTAAAATACTTTTGGCGCCAAAATTCTAATATCATTTTGGCACCAACATTCAAATAGAAAAATAAATTACTAAAATACCCTTTATAGAAAATAATTATTAATTAATTTGTTAGAAAATACGTTTCAAAAATACGGGGTATTACAGCCAGCCCTCCAGCAATTCAAAGGCAAATTAGGAAACTTGACCTATAAAGGAACAATTCTTAAAATCTAAGCATGAAAATCACATTTATCATTCCAAGCTTTAATAATTACTAGCTTACCAAAGAACATATGGGACCAGAACATAAGATAGCATTCATGTCCTCAGCAGATCTCAAATTAATGACAAAATAGCCATCATCATGCCAAAATGTATCTGGTTTAGCTATATTACTACAATGTTCAAAAATGAATCTATGAATATCAACAATAGTTGGTGAATATCCTACAACATAGAAGACACGAGCATTACCCCATTTTTTGTTACCTTCCATCAATTAGCAGCACTCAAGTTAGAAATTGATTTACCATCTCTGATTTGGGGTACAACAAAAGACAGAGTAGCCCATTTTGCATTCAACTTCCCTTTGAATAGACTCAACCATTCTTCACTTCGAGCTTCCTAAGCCTTACTAGCATCTTCAGGCCCTTAGAACCACCATCGTTACTAGGAACAGAGCTAGCAGACCAGGTGCTTACTCTAAGCAGAAATTAATTCAATAGAGCAATAGCAAATAAAACCCTAGTTACTATTCCATTGAAAATCCCAGGATTCTAAGTAATCGGATCTCTATGAATGCTTTATTTCAAGAATCCTAAGAGGAGAATTATTATATTAAATAATTTGGAATTTATCCAATTCTTATGTTATCGATGAAAGGATAATTATCTGGGGCATCCATTTACAATGACAACATCAAAATTGTAGGTATAAATATTTGCGAATATCAAGTAGTGGCGAAGCATTAATTATAAGTGGGTTCAAAACAATTAAAATTAAAGCTTAATTCAAATGTAAAGAAAAATTTATTCATGTGAAATATCATTAAGAAAAACATATAAATACACTTTCATAATGACTTTCATAACTAAAACGGGTACTATATTAGATATAAAACTAATAAACAATGGATGTGATGAACTATTATATGTTACATAAAAATTACATGAAAATTATTCATGGATTAACAAATGATGTAAAACTATATGTATATTATGCTACACATATTTGACACATTTATTAAATGGATAGATTATCCTATATTTGCATATTATCTTTTCCATATTAAATAATTTAATATTAAATCATTATTTTCTTATCATTAAAATGTTTATAACAAAAGTTTTAAAAAATTAATGACCCATTGTTTTGAAGCTCATACTAATAATTAATTGTTACGTACATGGTGAGACTCTTGGCAAAAAGTTAAAACACCAAGGCCTTGTTTGGTTGGGCTGAAAACCTTTTCCAGGAAAACTATTTTCCTTATTTTACATTGTTTGGTTTGGCCGGATATGAAAAGGAAAATTTGGGCTGAAAAGCTATTTTCCTTTATACAAGAAAACGTTTTCCCCCAAAATAGAAGGGAAGCTGTGTTTTCCACTCTCCTTCCATCTTTCCCCTTCTCCTCCTACGCTGCAAACTCAGGTATCTTCCTCATTCAATCTCTTGCTGCAATTTGGTATTATTCTCTCTCTTCTTGACTTGATTATTAATCTAGGGTTTAATTTGGTTTGAAATTCGATTATTTTAGGGTATTTTTTTGTACATGTTTTGATTATTTTAGGGTATTTTTGCATAAAATTTGTTAATTCAATTCGAAATTACTTTTCTGATGTGATTAAATTTTCTAAAGATGATTATAATTTGGGAATATGTTATTAGATGCATTCTACTCACTGCAAATTTTATTCTCATTCATATATTTTACATGTTTTTATCATGCCCACAAAGTGTTTGATAAATTGCGTCACCTAAAATTTGTTTTATTTTGTTGAATTTATTTTGAAGATTGTAAGCTAATATGATGTCGGATCAAGGGGTATCATCTCAAAATTCACTTCAGGTATAATACATCTCTAATGGTCTAATTTTATTTGCTTCATTATATTGATAATTTTCTGGTCTTGGAAATTTTGTTGTGGTTTGGTTTAGCTTAGTCTGATTTGCTATGTTCTATAGTATATTTGTTCAATTTGGTGTTCAGTTTAGAGAAAAATTGGCACACTCGTATAATGGATGATTGTTGAGCTTTTTATTGTTGTTTGAGTATCATTTTCACTTATCTAATAATAAAATTGCATATTGTAAAGCATTCCTTTTTGCCTACTGTTGCGGGTATATCCAATGTTATGGGGAGGTAATAGGTTTGTATTGTGGTATTTCAGACTTTAAGCTCACTTGTCATTATGATCAGAATCACCTTTTTATGAACATATTTCATAATGGATTCATTGGATCAAAAGCTCTTTTGGCATCAATCTAACCTCCCACACCATGGCTATTTCTAATGATTGTTTGTTTATTAATTGTTATTTGCAAGATATGAGTATGTCAACCTTGCTTTCCAAACCAAAGCCAGGTGGCAGTTACTAGGAAATTTGTTTAATATATGACTAATGTAATTGCTTTTATTGTTTTATTACTTTGACTACAATGGTACTGTACTAGTGTATAACTGGTTCATCTTATTACTTTGTAACCCATCAGACATCATCAGGATAGGTAATTCCTGCTCCAGCAAGAGCAATGTCACCTTTACAGTGTTTAGTAGTGGATAAGTGAGCTTAAGCATAATTGCTGCTTATGAGTATCCAAATGAGTGGCCAATACAGATGAAAAACATAGAAAACTGATGATATCTTACAGCTTTGATGCTCCTTATAAATCACAATGTCATGCTCCCTAAACTTAACACCAATATCGTGATAATTTTATTTCTGCTCTCAAGCCCTGTAGCGTCTCTAAATTAAGTCATTGTCTGGACTTGGTCAAACTTTGATTATGTGTTAATTGAGTGTTAATTGAGGCAGACTTGGTCAAACTTGATTTGCTGAACTGTTAATTCATTAATTTTTCTGTGTTTGCTAGCTGTTTGAATGAAGTTTACTCGATTTTCGAGCTTTGATACTTTGGTTACTAGTCTACATTATGTAATATGTAATGGTTCTGTTTTTGAGGGATTGTGTCCATAACTTGTATGCAAATGCTATATAATTTTGTTGTATATTTTATGGCTTATTATATAATTTGTTGTATATGTTATTGTAGATGACCCATGAAATGAAAGGCATGATTCTTGGTTCTGTGGCAGCCATAATTGCTTATGTTCTTGCTCTTGTTGAAGAGTTTAGGTTTAGGAATAAAAGGCCTAGAATAATTAGGCAACCTTATGTGAATAGAGATAGTTTGAGGGAGGCCAATATCAATAGTATTTTATATTGTGGTGACACTCATTGTCTAGGACAAATTCGTATGAGGCCTGCTGCATTTTATAGCTTATCTAATATTCTAGTCGAAAGAGGACTTTTGCAGGAAAGTGTTCGAATGAGTGTTAAGGAGCAAGTAATTATATTTTTACACTTTGGGACATAATGTAAGGTTTCGTGTAATTGGGGGAAGATTTTTTCTGTCAACATGGACCGTACACTACTATTTTCATATTGTGCTGCAAGCTATCCTTCAATTCTATCTAGAGGTTGTGAAACCACCAACAACTTCAATTCAGCCAGAAATTCAAAACAACCCTAGGTTCTTTCCATGGTGTGAGGATTTCATAGGGGCTATAGATGGAACACATGTGCGTGCCTCTGTTCCCATTGAGATACAAGATAGATTTTGTGGTAGAAAAGGTGGAATAACACAAAACGTGCTAGCTGCTGTTGATTTTGATGCCAAGTGTACTTATGTTCTAGGTAGCTGGGAGGGTTCTGCACATGATTCAAAGGTCCTTAACGATGCGCTAAGTAGGGGGTTCAAAATTCCAGAAGGTATTTGTCTCTTTTTTGGTAGTTGCAAACTGAAGATAAATTGATTATAATTTGCATTTTTATTTTTGTGTGCAGGGAAGTATTATCTAGCAGATGCGGGTTTTGGTAGTCACAAAGGTCTTATGCCTCCATACAGGAAAACCCGTCATCACTTGAAAGAATATACAAAAAATCCTCCAGAAAATGAACAGGAGTTATTCAACCTTCAACACTCTTCAATTAGAATGGTTGTAGAGAGAGCGTTTGGAATTCTAAAGGCGAGGTTTCCTGTCTTGGATGCTGAGCCTTTTTGGTCATTTAAAACCCAGGTTGATGTGGTTTTAGCATGTTGTGTGATACACAACTTCCTTAGGGGTATGGATCCTAATGACCCAATAACTAGAAGAGTAGACTTGGAGATAGAATCACTAGATACAAGAACATTGCTTACTAGAAGGGAAATGCGAGAAGAAACATAAATTAGTGTGTTAAAAAAAGAAATGTCGTAGCATCATCCATGTGGACTGCATACAAGTAGCCTCGAACAACCTAAAGTCTTTTGATTTCCTTATGTTGTAATGGGTTACACTAATGATTTGAACTAGAAATTGCAAAGATGTTTATATTCTCCTTAATTACATGAACTTTTATTTTTGGTGATTGCATCTGAAATTATGAGATTTCTTGATAATTCATGTGGTTTGCATATGAGAAGCATGTGTATCTACCATTGTAGGTGAAGAATGAAGAAAAAAAAGGGTATTTTTGTTGGTCAAAACAAATGTCCAAGGAGTTGCTGGTATTTCTTACAGAAGAAGTGAGAAAGGGAAATAGGCCAAATAACACTTTCAGAACAAGCTCTTTTGTTGCTGCTGCAAAAAAAAATCAGAAAAATTTAGAACTTCCTGCACGGCTGACCATGTTGAGAACCACATGAGGACAGTGAGAGCTAATTGGGGAATCATATCGAAAGTTCATGGTAACTCTGGATTTGGGTGGAATGACACTGTGAAGATGGTAACAACATCTCCTAATGCTTACAATAATTATATTCAGGTATCATTCTAGCTTAATTTTATGTGTTTTGATCTCTAGTACTCTCCTTATTCTTAAATATTAGTTTGAATAGGATTAAGAATTACAAAAAGCTCACTGGTAGTAAATTGGTAGATTAATTAGCCTCTCAGTAATGAGTCTATAAAATAGGTCAGTAAATAGGGCATTATTTCCTCTTTTTATGTTTGCAGAAAATTGTTGAATCTATTTTAGCAGCTGTAATTGTTTTATTTGGTATAGCTTCTTTTTGGGTGCTTTGATTTTTTATTTTTTTTATATAATTTATATATAGAGTGGCTTGTTGTGAAATACTCATTAGGTGTTGTCATCTCTGTGTAGCAAGTTTTATCCATAATGAGTATGTTGTCATATGGAAAATTGGATATGTTATGGATAAGAATAAATGAAATTAAAAGATTGATGTACTTCTGATCATCTGCATGGGAATACATGGTAAATGATTTTCTTGGTTTTGCTTACCTTTTGCATGAGGGTAGTGAATGTTAAACAACAGTCAAATGTTTGTATTGGTGTCTAACTTTGAAGTTTAAGTATTTCATTGATATACTTTTGCATAAGGGCAGTGAATGTTACATACAGCAGTCATGTTTCATCTCAAGTATGCTTCAAGTATTTCTCTAATATTTTTCTCCTTTTGTATACAGGAAAATCCTTCTCATGAGAAATATTTCAACCAAAAAATTGACATGTATGAAGAAATAGCAATCGTGGCTAGTAAAGACATGGCTCGTGGAGACTTTTATAAGAGTTTTGCTGATATTGAACTTAGCAATGAGAATGGACAAGGGCAGCCTACAAGTATGACAGAAAATGGGCCATCGAAATCAGATAGTGCCACTTCTTCAAAGCCAAGACAACATCGTAAGAGGACTCGAGGTGAAGATGACACTTGTGACTTGCAACAAATATCTAATCAACTAGGAGAAGTGGTTAGTGCCCTGAAGAAATTCTCAAACAACCAACTTGATATGGAAAAACTTTATGAAGAGATAATGAAGATGGATGATTTTGAAGAAGTTGTTCGTGATGCCGCATTTGACCACTTGGTTGAGCGGGAGATGCTTGCCACATCTTTTTTGACAAAGAGCAAACCTCTTCGAAGAGTTTGGATCCAAAACTTTATAAATTCGCTTAATCGTTAAAAATTAGAATGAGTATGTTTTTATTGTTTGTCTACAACTACTTACTACAAATGTCTACTACTATGAGTACGTAGAAAGTAAAGTATTCTGTAATGTCTTGGTATTTGAGTTGTTGCTGCTACTTTGTAATAGTCTACAACATTTTATCTTACTTATATGATTTAATTATGCTAGTTTTTACCCTTTTATTTCTAAATTGCATTTATATTTACAAAAACAAATTCAAAGTTAGCTTAGAAAAAAAGCATTATTATTATTAGTAGTAGTATGGTATGAGAAAGAACTGATAATATCTTCCTTGAAAATATAGGAAAGACAAAGAATAAAAAAATAAAGAAGATGTTGATTTTCTATTGAACGAAACGACAGATAATGCTTAAAAAGGAAAATCAGTTTACATATAACCAAACAAGGGAAAATGTGTAGGAAATTACATTTTCTAATGAAAAAGGTTTTTCGTGGAAAATCATTTTCCATCGAAAACATTTTACACCCAACCAAACAAGGTCCAAGTGTCGATATCTTGTGGCCTAGCTAAATGTTAAAACACTTGGCTAAAAATTTAGCTTTATATATTAGGTTATATAATCTATCATTTAAAACATAATTTAAATTAGATATTAGCAATTCACAATGTCCCCCACTTATGGGATTAAGGCTTTGATTGATTGATTGATTGATTGATTGATTAGCAATTCACAATGTTCAATTACTTATAACCAAAATACTACAATCATGTACGGGAGTATAAGAATAATACACAATATATGACTAAAATAATTGAATTTTTCATACTCTTTTTTATTTTTATTTCTTTATTTATTTTTTAAGGCACAATATAATCTTGATATATTAATACTATTAAGCTATAAATGTATGTTAAAGCTTTTATTTGACGATAATTTTCATACTATTGGATTTACATATAAATCTTTTAAACGTTTTTTGAAAGTTTTTAATTAATCATTTGTGATGGAAGCCTATAAGAAGTACTTTTTTAACCGGATCAAATATTCATTCTACAATAGTAAATATGAACTTTTTTAATGGTGATTACATGCATTTATAGCTAAAATCAAACAAGCATCGCATGCATAAAATGCTAGTCTAATATATACTACGGACTTTTTTTGGATCATAATTTAGGGACAAATGAGTCACATGGGTATTACATTTAGGGGATAGAGATTTGAACTTGTACTATGACTTATTGCACACATTATTGTTGTTTTTTATACTGGTGATATACTCTTTACATAATTGTAATAGTTGATCAGATGAATGATTGATTACAAGTATGACAAATCTAAGTCTAAGTTAATCAGATGAGTGATTGTTTACAAGTTTGACAAATCTAATTCTATTTGAAAGTTTTTAACTGTAATTTCTTTTTAGCACAAGAACGAAGATATTATTCTGTGGACACATAGACTACTGCAAAGAAAGAATAACACACAATAGAACAAAAGCTAAAACATGAAAGACAGTACAAATAGACCAACTCATCATAATACAAAGTACAAGACAAACACTATGTTACACCAAAATATACTAGTTGTTATAAAATAGGGAGAAATATAAGAGAGATTGATAGAGAATATATCACTGTATTTCTATTCCATATAATGGGATATATATATATATATATATATATATATATATATATATATACAATATAATTAGGGTTTTCTTAAATAAAAATATAAACCCTAGTTCCATCTAGAATATTCTGGAATGATACAAGGAGTATAATGGGTATCCACACAATATTTCATAACACTCCCCCTTGGATGTCCATTATCGAAGACTGTGCCTCGTTAAAACCTTATTAGGAAAAACCCTGTGGGATAAAAACCTAATGAAGGAAAAAGAGTACAACATTCTTCGCAATATGTAGAGATGCTGCCTCATTAAAAACCTTACCAGGAAAACCCAACGTGGGACAAAACCATGGTCAAGGGAAAAAGAGTGCATCGCGTATTTTCTCCCCCTGATGAATACATAACTTGAGATCTTCTAGTGTCGCAGCAATGAATCCAATATGTTGGATATCTTCTAATAAGATGGTAAAATATCATTTGTTGATCTTCGATCCTCCTAAATTGAAATTGCATCTTCAAGTCTTCATGTGGACATGTAAAGTGTCTTCATTTCACCATATATGTGTTTATCTCTAATATCACCATTCCAAATCTCTATTTAATAGTTGATTAAAAAAGTTAAACTTATGCGGTTATGACTTCTTCTGGAAGTCGTTAGTAATAAATATTGGTGATCATTATTTGATTTAACATTCATTAATGATAATTTGATGACAAAACTTAATATTATTAATGTCATTCTTCAATATCATATGAATTATAATATAACATATGTAATTATGTACGCTAATCATGGTTCTTCTGGACCATGAGAAAACATTCTCGCGCATAAGTATTCCATTGATATTATTTAGATGTTTCATGATTGACATGATAGCTCTCTTATAAATACAAATAGTAAATCTTACTAACTCTCATATGCTCAAACTTCAGGCTGAGATGTCAATAATGTAGTCACATAGACTTTTCAAGAGTTTGATAATAATTGCAATATTCAAGACATAAAATTTTTTAGGGTTGGGCATTTAATACGTCATATATAAGTTCTTCAGGAACTCCTTTTACATGATTCATAACATGTTATTAAATAAGTGTCATCAATAATTTCATTACAATTATAAGCCCATTGGAATATAAACATCTCTTTCTAATTTTTCATCAAAGTTGTAAATATGTCTTACTATATTTTGAAAGAACATTCACATACACCACAACCATTGTAAGAAATTAATCTATGCAATATGATATATATAAAACATGATAACATATTAAACAAATTATATAATGAGTAATGCATCTAACTTCCTACATATGCAATAAACCATTAACCTATGACTCACGTACACATGAATATAACACTCAAAATGATGTAAGACACTGTACAACGTGGATTTAAAAATCCATATTTCATTGGACTTCGGGTCCATGATAAACTTATATCATTATCATCATGTCGACATCAAAATGTACATATATTTCTGATCCCTTACTTATTAGTCCATTCCATTATGCATATGCATATTATTCATCGGTTCCATTATGTACCGGTATCATAAAATTCCTTTAACTTACATTCCGCATGCTATTTTACTATGATATCTTAATACATTTCTCATTGGTACCATCATAACTTTTCTAACATCATAGGCCATCTATTATAATAATTCAGATATCTATACCACTTTAGGATATTTCATACACTATGGTATTTATATACTATTACACTATTAGTGTCAACTGCACTATCTTGCCAAATATCATATCTATTAAACATATCTTTATTTTGGAACCGATCATATACAACCTACACTTCAGGTGTAGTGATTCAAGTACAATTGGCAAGATTTTATCTCAATGTATACACATAATTAATATGACCAAAATGTATCTTCAACGCTATGCAACATGAGTCATAACTGAATACAAATCAAATCATAAATGTGCAACATATCTTGATAATATAGATACAAAAATTGGAATATATATAACTTTTCAAACTACCATTATAGGGATCATAAATATTATTTATTTATTTTTTATTTTCCCAACTTTTGCTATTTTTTCTCCCCCTAAGTTGGTAAAATATCTCTTTTATAGGGGCGTCTAATTCTATACCAACTTAGTATATAAGTTTGCATTAAAATTCATTTCATTGGGAGGATCACAATCAAAATTTATCTCTTCTGGAGAACAATTTCGATGAAGAATCATTTATTCATTAACTTTATATTTCATGTGTTTTTATTATTAAATTTTCAATAATAATATTTTCTCTTCTGGAGATCAATGTCAATGGGGAGACATATGTTGTGCAGTTGTACGTTTTTCTTTCTTCTCCTATTTCATATGTGCTGACATATAATAGCCCCAATCAAAAGAATTGTTATACAAGCATAAATCACTTGCTCGTAATTCTAGTAGGTGATGATCTTCTGGATCTTTAAAGACTTAAATATTTTATTTGGTGAGCTTCTAATCACTTGATAGTTGACAATAATATATAAGTTATTTTGGTGAACTTCTGGTCAGCCATTACTCTTTTATCAGCCATTACTCCTTTATATAAAAAAAAATCAAAACATATTAAATCTTGAAATTTTCATCAATACAAATTATTATAACTCACAATCCAAATATACCTCAATCTCAATGTTACTCTTTCCATTCAATTCATTTTATATATTTAAAATTGAGAAAGCGTCAGCACATTATCAAATGAAACTTCAGGTTTCCATTACGGGTAATTATTATTAAATCCGGATGACCTAATTTAATTATCACATCCAATCACTTCTCTAAATTTGAACTCTGGTCAGTTTTCAACACTAGTGATCACTTTATCAAACTTACTATATGCATGGCCATGAATGTGATATTAGAGCACCAACATGTGTTCCTTTATACAATTGGCAAGACAATCAATTAATATTTTATCCAATAATTACTCATACTCTACTGGAGTTTAAACTTGTTATTTCATACTCTTCTGGAGTTTTTTTTATATATAATCATGAAACATATAAACTTTACTAAAAGCGATTTCTTCTAGAAATGTAATGATATTTACCACTTCCTCAAATTTGTCATTGTCAATAATGACTCCTTTCCTTTTCAAAGATACTTAATTATCTTTAGAACCTATTGATTTATCACGCTTCAGGCATGTTATAGGTTCATCAACAATTGATGTTGTACTCTTAGGACATCAATTTTAAATTAGAGCATTTACAACTAGTATATGATAAATGTCATTTGTTTATATCCATCTTCAGGATTGTATCATTTCAAAATATTTAATTAACATGTGGCCACTTCTAGTTGATATTTAAGTTATTGTATGTATTAAACTGACCATATATATTTTATTATTTATATGCAAGGATTACATACAATCTCCCCCTAATCCTTGCATATGGGGGTATGGAATGAATCAATCCAATAACCTTTAAAATCCTTGCAACTTTTAAGCCATAAATTCTTTTGGCAATGTCATGTATCAAGTAACGTGTTTCTTTTAGCAAAAACATGCTTATATAAAATTATACTTATAGAACACTTATCATGTACCTCATGCCCAATTACATTTATCTTAAAAAAAAAAAAACAAAACCTGGCCTCTTATATTTATGGGCATAATAAAACGTTGATTATGTATATTTTCTCACAATGTCATGTTTAATTACTTGAACTCATAACACACTTTTTGCTATATACAATACAAAATAATGCAGTAATACAATAAGATATAATGAATTGAAAAGTTGTATCCTAGCGGTTTAGCACTTTAAAGCAATATATATGTTATGTACTTGAAACAAAATTGCCCTTGGCTAATCAATAAAATATAAACAACCTTAATCATAAAACCAAGTATGATGTATAAGAAAGGTAATTGATCAAACAAATATAGAATTGCTTTCATGATTGTAATGGAGTGCCTACTACATACTATACTCACTAAAGCCAAGTGATCAAGTGGGATTCAAGGTCAAACAATTGTCAGATACAATAAACAATCAACTTAATGCTTTGTTTGAAAGAAATTCACATGATAAATCTCAAATCTATTATAATTATAGAAAATAATAATTTGGCATTACTATTGAATCCGTAATTATATTGTTGGACATTTGGACGTACCTTTACTAGTGCAGAAGATATAATTTGCAAATTGATCACTTCAAAAAAACCAGTTCCATATGTGCAAGTCATATGTAATTATGACTCTTATAAAGATATATTTGATAATACCTTTTATTTCTTGAGTATATACTACCAAAAAAATTAATATGATATAATAACTTGATATAATTAATTAATGTCTAGACTCCTCGAGATATTGTTACTTGATTTATCTTATAATCCATTACAAATACAACTGTTATTTAGTGAAACAAAAGTGTATACATATATATAATTCAAATAAATGATAATACTGATAAGGTTATTACTATTCAAGCCATAGACTGTTGCTTAACGATTATCTTATTAATATTGTTAACTGTTAAGCAGTATATCAATCTTGTATAGCTCCAAAGATAAGAATTCTAATTCCTAGCCTTTTGTTGAAACTGATTACATATCTACTGATTCCATGGCAAATTACCAAAACAAAAGTGAAGGCCTATATTCAATTAATATTATAAGCATGTAGAGAGTAATTACTGCTTGACAACCGTATCAAAATTAAAACATATTCAACAAATGAAATTCATAAAACATTGAATTAACCAGTTTGATCAATACCCCACTTGCTTGAACAATATCAATCTCCAACAAAATATAAGACCCACTAATCCACTTAATTACTTGGACATTATTAATTTGCGTCATAATATAGTGTAGTCATAGACCTCATAGTGGTACATCCTAATTTGAATCATTGGTAGCTAATGAACCCAAATACTCATACTCTTTACATAAAGCAATTTGATAATGAATTAATATAAATAGTATATAATGTATGTGTACCTTTATTACTATTCACACATCAAAAACCACCAAAATTCTTAAAATTTAAGGTAGTAAAATATCATGAGACATTATGTGAACCAACAATTATGTAACCACATACACCTGAACTTAGGATATGTAACGTTACAACACAAAACAAAGAGATAATGCGAGTTCAATAATGGAATATGGACACGAAACTTATAAACGGAACCTAAATACCAAAGCAAGAACATATAACGCATCAAATAGAAAGCCCAAATCTCCCCATCTAAATCTAGTTACCAATGAACACAAATTAATTAAACTATTAAACTAATAGAACAAATTCAATATATTTATTCAGGTGAATGAATCAATCGAATAATCCTAAAAATTAACAACATCATATAGCTCCTTCAATGAGATCTCTCATCATTCAATTACCAAAAATAAAAATCGAACAACTCAATTAGATACCAAAATACAGAACAAATAACCATATTCATCATTTCACGAAAAAATAAAATACGAAAAAAAATTGAAGAGATCATACCCATGAGAGAAGTATCGAGAAGACTGCGAGTAAACAAAACCTGATGAGTAGGATTAATAGTACCAGGCTCAATTTCACGTTGTTGAAAAGTGAGAATGCTTGAGATGCTGGTAACGAGCAAAACAAGAATGGTGCCGCCAAAAGTGGTGATGACAACAAGTCAGCTTTCGCAATGGAGTTCTTTAATTCGGATCTAAATTAAACAATTTGCGTAGAGCTTTGGTGCTGATAACGTGTTATAAAATAGGGAGAAATATAAGAGAGATTGATAGAGAATATATCACTGTATTTCTATTCCATATAATGGGATATATATATATATACAATATAATTAGGGTTTTCTTAAATAAAAATATAAACCCTAGTTCCATCTAGAATATTCTGGAATGATACAAGGAGTATAATGGGTATCCACACAATATTTCATAACACTAGCACAGATAAAAGAAACATTGAGCTAACTACTAGCTGTTGACAAGCAACATGTCATGCTTATAAGCTTTCAAAGCACAACGAGAAATAGCAAAGAGAGGTTTATGACCGAGTGTCATCTTTTATTCTTTATTACTCACATTAAATTTGTTGAGGATAGCCCTTGCCCTGGACCGGTCCAACACGCCCACGAGGGCCATTAGGCTCATGTCGTGCATGGGCCATGGTGTTGTAATTTCAATCCCTGCCTGACACAGCCTATCAATATCATTTTGGGATGTGGGCAGCGCCTGTGAAGCTCGGTCCGACCCAGAGTCATCTTGTATCCGTGGCCCTCATGCAGTTATGCTATTCCATCTTACTACATCTGTTTTAGACCTGATCAAATCAAGTCTGACTCGCTGACCTGACCCAAAAAAACCTGGGTTTGGAAAGAATTGGCCCGTCAAACCCGATTTTCCAAAAATAGAACAGGTTTGGGTAGCCCGAAATATCCAGTTTTAGTTAAAAATTAGGCCTAAAGTCCGCTAATTTTGGCACAATATAATTGGTTTAGGCACGAGCCGCACGACTTCTCCGGCCTAAAGTTTGGCCCGGCCCAAAAGGGCTATTTTAGACAAGGCCCGGCCCATTCTACTACCCGGTTCCCAAAACCTATAAAGTTCATCCTTTGCTGATCTTGATCTGCATAATTGTGTTACATACGTATTCAACTCACACCTCAAACTACTGAGAGTACTGACTTATTTTTTACTCAGATTATCAAATGACTCTCAATTAAACATAAAATTCTAAGCATTATCTTCAAATGATCACCAAAATTCAAAGTAAAATTGTCATGTCAAACCCAGTTTTTCGATTGAGCAGATCAACCTTGACAATCCCCACCATTCTCAACTTAGCAACCTTTTCACCTGCTCGAACTCGTCAACTCCATGCCCACATTATCAAATCTGGTCTTCTCATCGACAATTCTCTCTCCTCAAAGCTACTATCTCTGTACTCAAATCACCGATGTTTCGCCGAAGCTTCCATTTTTCTTGACTCAATTGACGAACCCAGTTCTTCATCTTTCTCTGTTATCATCAATGCTTTGTCAAAATTCAATCTTTTTTATAATGTTGTTGATTTGTTTAGGAAAATGTTGTCTAAAGGTGTGTGTCTTGATAGTTATCTTCTGCCTGCTGTGGCAAAGACGTGTGCTGGGCTTTCGGCTTTCGAGCTTGGCAGGCAGGTTCATGGACTTGCACAAGTATCTGGGTGTACATTGGATGTTGTTGTGCAGTCTTCTTTAGTTCATATGTATGTGAAATGTGGTCGGTTGATTATTGCACGGAAGGTGCTCGACGAAATTCCTGAACCAGATGTTGTCACTTTTAGTGCTATGATTGCTGGTTATGCTCGAAATGGCGATGTGGGTATGGCGAAAAGACTTTTTGGTGATATGGGAAAGTTGGGGTTGGAGCCTAATTTGGTGTCTTGGAATGGTTTGATAGCAGGGTTTAATCAAAGTGGAAGGCATTTGGAAGCTATTCATGTGTTTCTTGATATGCATTTAAGAGGTTGTCAGCCGGATGGAAGTAGTTTTTCTAGTGTTTTAGCTGCAATAGCGGACTTGGAGGTTTTGAATGTGGGGATTCAAGTTCATGGTTATGTGATCAAGAGGGGTTTTGCTTGTGATAAATGGGTTGTTAGTTCCCTTGTTGATATGTATGGTAAGTATGCTTGTGTTTCAGAGATGAAACAAGTGTTTGATGAGATGGGCTGTATGGAGATAGGCTCGTGCAATGCCTTAGTTTCTGCACTTGCTCGGAACGGTCTTGTCAATGATGCACTTGCAATGTTTAGCCGAATGAGAGAACACAAGATGGACTTTAAATGTTGTTTCTTGGACGTCAATGATTGGTTGTTGTTCCCAAAATGGTAAAGATGTTGAGGCTTTGGAGCTTTTCACAGAGATGCAGCTTGCTGGTGTGAAGCCCAACGCCGTCACCATCCCTTGCTTGTTACCTGCCTGTGGCAATATAGCAGCATTAATGCATGGGAAAGCAGCACATTGCTTCTCTATCCGGAGGCAAATAACAAATGATGTTTTTGTTGGCAGTGCCCTCATAGACATGTATGCAAAGTGTGGCAAAATTAGGGATTCTCAGCTATGTTTTGATGCAATGCCCACCAGAAACACTGTAAGCTGGAATGCAGTAATTGGTGGATATGCTATGCATGGAAAATACAAGGAAGCCTTGGAGATGTTCGATTTGATGCTCAAGAGTGGACAAAAACTTAACTTTATAACATTTACTTATTTGCTATCTGCTTGTAACCAGAAAGGCCTTGTCGATGAGGGCTGGCATTATTTTATTAGCATGCAAAAAGAGCATGGTGTTGAAGCTAAAATGGAGCATTATGCTTGCATGGTGAGCCTCCTAAGTCGTGTGGGAAAGCTTGAAGAAGCTTATTCATTGATTAAAGAAATGCCTTTTAAGCCAGATGCTTGTGTTTGGGGAGCTCTGCTGAGTTCTTGTAGAACCTACAAAAACTTGCAGCTAGGTGAAATAGCCGCCGAGAGGCTTTTTAAATTGGAACCTAGGAATCCTGGTAACTATGTCCTTCTGTCAAACATTTATGCTTCAAAAGGCATGTGGGGTGATGTTGACAGGGTAAGGGATTTGATGAAGGATATGGGTTTAAAGAAAAACCCTGGATGCAGTTGGATTGAGATAAAGAACAAAGTCCACATGCTTCTAGCAGGGGATAGAACACATTCCCAGATGTCCCAAATCATTCATAAGATGGAAGCACTAGGCAAAGAGATGAAGAAGGCAGGTTTGGATCCTAAAATTGATTATGTGCTACAAGATGTAGAAGAGCAGGACAAAGAGCAGATGTTGTGTGGACATAGTGAGAAGTTGGCTGTAGCTTTTGGACTCCTAAATACGCCTGCAGGATTTCCTCTTCGTGTAATCAAGAACCTTAGAATCTGTGGTGATTGCCATGCGGTTATAAAATTTATTTCCAGCATTGAAAGGCGAGAATTTTTTGTTAGAGACACTAATCGATTTCATCATTTTAAAGACGGAGAATGTTCTTGTGGGGATCATTGGTGATTGACACAGTCGTAATTGGGACAATATAACACTTACATGAGGATATTAAGAGGCACCTATCCTCACTTTAGCATCACAACTGTGTTCTACTCACCTCACAACATATATTGTCAAAAGGTGACTGCTTGATAAAAAAAAAAAAAAAAAAGACACCACAGTATGCCTTTGTAGTTTGTACATATGCACAGGCATTTGGTTGTATAAGAGTACAAGTATGACGGGCAAGATATATCTTTTCATACTTCTATACAGTTCTGGTTTTATTGCAGATGCTTATTAGAATTTTGTTAGCTTTGCTATGAATTTGAAAATTTTAGGAGTTGTCAGTTTGAGTTAGGGGTTGGTCTAATTTCTAATTTGTTAAATATTTCAAGTACCAAGTTTTGATACTGTTGCCACCAGATTGATGGCATAAGGAAATCAGATATAGATTATCAAAATTGTAGACAGTTTGTTCATTATTGTATAATGATTCAGCTGTAATTTTCCATAGTATAAGTTATTAATTGGATCATCTTTTCTTCTATTTGTTTGATGCAGAAGTACCACCTGTCTCTTTATTGAATAATCAGCAGGGTTTAGAACCTGGAATTGCTGTGTTCAGTCCTTTACATCTGGGAGTTACTCCTTTGGTATTGTTGTATCTCTCTTCTTTCTTCTTCTCTCTCTGAATTTACATTGTTATCACTATTTCTCTCTGGTTTGATGTTTACGTCTTATTGTTTTTTATGCTTTTGTGTTTGGATTGGTGTCCAGTTTCAAACCCCTTTTTCTTGTTTGCACTGTTTATGCTCCTAATATATGATTTTTTAAGGGAATTTGTCTTTGTTAACGATGCTTTTAGTCAGGATACTGCTGTGTCTTCTATTAAGAAGATTATTCTAGGTGGGTGTTTATCGACCACTTGACTAATCTATTGGTATCATATATATTGAGCTTAAGAGTGGTACATATCTATTGTCATGTTCTGTAGGGTGATTATTGACCACCTTTGAGCGAATGTTTTTTGGGCTAAACTCTTTATGGCTTACAGGGGGCTTCATGGAGAAAAAAAAATATACATGGAGATAAAAAAAATATATATATATATAATCCTCTTATCTTTTTAATTATTACTCTTTGTTCTTCATCACATAACCTTAGCTAGCATATTCTTAACAAAACATCTGTCAGAATGAAATTCGATGCAGATGTTGTCTTTGGTAAACAAAGACACACTCAACAAATATTTTGTTATATTTTACACTTGCAGGACACTATTCAATGTACAAGAATTCATAACAATAAAGTAAGAGTTACCAATATGAAAAATTGGAAGGGCCAATCTATTATTCACTACTGGTACATTATCATCTCCATTATACTTGGAATGTGTGGATAAATTTGTAACATTAGCAGTGAGATGACTTGATGCACCTGAATCCACATTTGAACTTGGATCTGAAACTGTGCTTGGGGTTGGCTGAGTTTTTAGAGGCCTTTTCAGAAGTGTAGGCAATCTAGGCATGATTAAAGCCGTTGTAACACTCAAGCAGAGTGTTCCGGTTTACTGTGATTCTGACAGGTGATGTTTGGTTTGTTGAAGGTTAATTTTGTTGTATACTTGTATTACCACCGTTTGACCACTGTATTTTGTTTGCCTATGTTTGAGTTACTGCGGCCATCAGATAATTGATCTTCCCAAAACTGTACTTTATGGCTGGTAACCTTTGCCACAATCAGGTTTCTGGATAGTTCAATTCTCTCTTCTTCTTGCAAAAGCATTTTAAGAAGTTCAACTGCGACTGATTTAAGCGCAGTATTTATAGATGTTCTAAAGGAGCATAGTCTGTATGACTGTATCAATGCATCCAGACCATGTAAATTATGAAAGGCGAGAAAATTTTTGTCAGAGACACTAATTGATCTCATCATTTCAAAGACAGGGAGTATTCATGTATCAAGTTTTGCTACTGTTAGTTTGTTACCTCAAGAATAATGGTGCAACTGCACAAGGAATCACGTTTAGATAATTAAAATTGCAGAAAACTTGTTTGTTATTGATAATGATCTAGTTTCAACTTTTCATATTGTAGGTTATTTAAAGAATCACTGTTTTTTCTTTTTGTTTGTTGCAGAAGTATCGGCTTTTTCATATTATTCAGTCTTTGAATCTGAGAGCTCCTCCTATGGTATAACTGTTTCTCTCTTCTTTCTATTTTTATCAATATATCTTTTTGGTTCGGTGTTCATATTTTTGTCCTCCGTTGTTGCTGCATGGTAAATCATACTTTTAGTCTGGTTCTCTGCATTGTCTTGATGTCTTCTATATACGTTGATTATTTTGGAAGGTGATTTATTGATCACTTTTAAGTGAGTGTTTATGAGCTGAACTCCTTATGGCTTACTGCGACTTATTAGATATATATATATATTAGAACTTCACTTATCCTCAGCTTTATTTTTCTGTTCTTTATCACATAACCTTGCCCTACATACTCTTTAACAAAACATATATCAGAATGAAATTCCATATAGGCATTATTGTCTTTGGTGAATTGGGACACATCAACAAATTTGTTGTAATACTTGGCACATGTTGGACATTTTTTTACGTAAAGGATTCCCATGTCAATTAAAAGAGGAAATACCAATATTAGAAATGGAAAGAGCCATACCATTGCTCATTGTTAATAATTTCAACTATACTCAGAATGAATGGATAAATTGGTAATATCAGCATTGAGAAGATTTGATGCACCTGAATCCACGTACCAACTTGGATCTGCAACAGGGATTGGATTAGCTACCGTGTCTGGGATTTTGGAGGCCGTTTAGATGTGAAGGCATGATTAAGGCGGGTGTAACACTCGAGCAGAGTGTTCCGATTAACTGTGATTCAAACAGGCGATGCCGTTGGTTTGTGAAGGTTGGTTTTGTTGTATTAACGCCATTTTGAACAGTATTTTTTATGCCTTTGTTTGAATTTCCGTGACCATTGGAAGATTGATTTGATGATTTCCCTGAAATTGCACATTATGGCTGGCAACATTTGCCACAATCTGAATATCTGGATAGTTTATAGTTCTATCTTCGTGCAAAAGCATACCAAGAAGTTTATCAACTGTGATTGGTTCCAAGTATTGATATATGTGCTGATTGCTGAAAGGAGCATAGTCTGCATCCAGACCATGTAAAATATAGTTAACAAAATCATCTTCTGGATTTTGAATGACAGTGAGAGTATCTGCCAATGCTTTCTTCTTCCCAACATATTATAGCATTGACAGAGCCTTCTGGAGTGGTTTGCAAAGTCCACCGCATGACATACCCTTCAAGGTCAGATGCTCGACATGCTTCAAGACCGGGCAGTACAATAGTGCGCCATTATAGATTATCTTTCCTTCCCAAATCAATTGAAAGGTTAAGAAAAGAAGCTAAAGAGACCGCTGTTATTGATGGTGAAATTGCCATGAAGCCCATGATTGTTTTTAGGACGTGAGTTGCAACGGCTCTGGTATCATTAAACAATGAGTGAGGGTGTAAAGTTTAGCACACCCCACACCAGAAATGTAGCTTCTAGTTATATGTTGTAAAACACATTAGTTACAATGATGAAACTCTACAGCTAGGATTAGAAGAGATTGAAGCCTATCCTAAATAGTTACAACAAATTGTACTACATTACCAGACACCGTGGCCAGCGCAGGTGCTAGGTTGTAGTCAGATAAATGGTCTTTTAAACAGTTGCAATGGCCGGTAAAGGTCTTTGTTTGATCTTCAAATCAGAAGATGGGCACTAATTTTTTTACTATTGCACTTAAATAATGCTCTCTTAAATCCAGTAAAACTCCATATTCGCACTTTTACAGGATTTTCACCAAGGGTCAGAAGATATGTTTTACTTCAGATTTGTGACAGAAAATAATTATTTCCAAACAGATTTTTATTTTGTGTGATAGTTCTTATTACGCTTCACCTTGTTGGTTGTGGTTACTTCTATTGGAGCAACATTTATTGACTGCAAAGCAAGTAATTAGAGCCGTTCCACAGATGATCAAGCTAATGCAAGTTGTTCTTATGGTAAATAAGATACTTTTTTCTCTAAAACAGGTTTCTGCAGGTGGAACAGTTTCATATTGGTATAGAAGAACCTTATACTTTAAACCATATTACATATATCACCACTGTTTCGAGTGGAGAAAAACCTTCTTCACAAGAACCTTTGCCGAATTCTGGTATCAAGACGATGACATATACTGTATTGTGTATCGACATCGTTCCCTACTTGCCAAGATGCATATCCTCTCATTATCATCACTTTAAAGTCTCTCTTTATTTATCTAAATATCCCGTCAAAAGGTTAGTTCATTCAGTTGGTTTATAACTTGCTAAATATCTGGTTGTGCAAATTGTGCTAGTTTTGCTTACCAAGTTGATGTCAGTTTGGTTGTCCTTGCTAAAATTTCATACTTATCTGCATCACCTGGCTCAGTTACTCCAAGAGGGCAGCCTTAAAACTTGTCTTTTTTTGGCGTCCACTTGAGCTAAATGTTTGTAGGTAAAAGGTTATTTCCGTTCATAGTACAATTTTGTCTTTAGTATTCAAGTGGCACTGTGGCAGAGTAGTGACTATATTATCCAGTCAGTACATGATATGACGGGGAATTCCACCTTTACTTTAACTTTTCCTGTTAGATACGGAGTACTCGAACATGCTTTGTTACTGTAGTTTCGTGTGAATATTGTTTCTATATTATCCGACTATTTAACTAGTTACGAAGTACTTTTATTTATTGTTAAAATGTAGTATCGATGCATAATTAGTTGTTAGTTTTGAATAACATTGCAACAATAATCATGGGGTAAATCACGTTTATTTTGGGACAAAGGTGTACGTATTTTATTTCTTTCTTTTTTTGGTTGGTGAAGGAGAGGGACCCTCTCGGCTCGGGTTAGCGGGATAGGCACTTTGAGAGTGGGGGGAAGGATAAGAGAATCCCCACCCCAAAGTGTTTCTAGTGGGATTTGATCTCACAATCTCATGCTTTGCTTGGTACATATTTTATTTGTTTGTGCATTACCACTTGCATTATTAATATTATACTATATGAAAATGAAGAGGGTAATTAGACTATTACCTATGAACCTATAGCCAAAAAAAAAGTCATGTAATTTGCAATTTCTTAGGACTTAGGCTACGGTCCGGGTCTTTGAGATCATCATTGGTCTTTATCACCCAAAAGAGTGAATAGTACTCTGTAATATTGTATCATATTCCATTGTACAAATATTGGTCAGCTTAGCTACAAAACCTCTGTTATTATGCTTGATACAGTATAAAACATATTCCTGGGTCTCAACCATCAGCTAAAGCCTTTTGATTGAGTCGGTTCTTTTACATAATTAGATTGAAACCCATTTTATTGCATCATTGCCCCATTTATTTGACATTAATACGAGTAGAATCTAGAGATGTGAACTAATGTGCATATGTGATATCAGTTGATTAAGTTTGATCCTAAACTCGTGTCACCAATGACAACGCGGGAACTTGCATCAAGAAGGATCTGAAGCTGTTCAGCTTGGCTGAGCAAACAGAGTACTTTATTGCTTCAACGTAAGATCAAAGGTTTGAAAATGAGCTTAAACATAACCAAAAAATAATGTGAAATATACCCAACGATTAGACTACAAATTGTTTTTCGCCTTTTCTATCTTTTTCGCCTAATTTTTAATACATACTCTCTCTTTGTATCTTTTCATCTTTTACAAAAGTTACAATAACTTTAAGCACCCAAACATATGAGGAACTTAGATTTAATGGTATTTTATAAGCTTATGGTGTTACTTTTGAGACAAACAAGTTTCAAACAAGGCTAGAATAAGTGATTTCAAACAAGTTTCATACCATCCCTCTAAGTTTGCTTAGTGAAACATAATGTTGGCCCAGCTTGCTTAATTGGCTATTTGGCTCCAAGAAACTATGGGCAGACAAAATATAATGTTGCTTTGGATACGGCTTTCCGTAGCGTGTATCCGTAATCCAACTTTTGAGACATTGCAAAAGTCGAAGAGTATACTTGAAGATATTTCCTAATCTTTTTCTCATAACAATCTTCTTAATTGTTCCTTTCGTACTATTTTAATCATTACCTAGGGTAAGAAGCTCCAAAGAGATGCGACCAACTTTTGAGGAAGATATTAGGATTTAATAGTGGCGTACCCACTGCCCCACTGGCCACTTCCCCATTCCTACAAATCAAATGCACCAAAAAACCAAATTAAAATGCAGCAACAAAATTAAAGCTCTTAGACTTCATCATCAAGCGTACATAAAGAAGTTATTATTTATAGTCCTCGTTGGTCCATACCGCCATTAAAATAGCACTTCCGGGCGAAGCTGTGTCGCAATACCAGCTCGAAATCGAAATCGAAATCGAAATCTAGACTAAATGTGGTACCATATAGTATACACAATGATATTAACTGAGCTACTTTTTTTAGTAGTTTGTGGCAATCATATTTGATCATCTTTTTAGTGCCTTATCTGCTTGACTTAATTGTTTATCTGTTTGTACTTTATATGGTCTTTTTTGGGTCTAAGATATGTTTTTTAATAAACTTTCGTTAGTATAATCCATTGCTTTTGTTGGTTTGTTATTGCACCTACTCCACCATTTGCTTATTCAATCATTAAGTATTTGTATTTATAATAAATTATACTTTGTTCAATAAGATCAATGCCGTAACATATGAGAGGATTAAGGAATTGTGTTGGTGTCTCCAGGAAATTGGCTTGAGTTTCGTACAATATATCCAAGCAGTGTCGTGTTCATAATTTTATATTAGCTACGGATATGTGTTAGGATTACTATTCTATTACATAGATGTACAAGTAATCAAAGTAGTACTTTTAATAAAGAAAAAAAAAATTAGTGTAAAAGGAATAGAGGATATGTACGGAAACCTAGCTATTAAAGAGAAATGAAAATCCCATTAATCAAAAGACCATATCCATGTACCAATCGATTTATGATTAGTAAAAATGAAATTAGTTAAAGCCAAACTTCTCTAAAAAAATCTCATTGCAATGATCCTCTAAAGACCTAAAAACTCTCTTGATGCCCCAAAAATCATCATACTAGTAGTTTTTTGTTTTCTTACATGAAAAATAAAACAAGTTAATCACAAAGCGTATAACGAAAAGTAACAAAACGCTATTATTTACAATGGTGTACGCTTTACCCTCGTATTGCAACTTAAATGATTTGAAGTCGTCTATAGGCTCATCAAATATGTTTGTGAAACATTGTAATAACAATGGCCATAGTATTAAAATTAATCCTTAAAATATTTGACCATAATGATACCAATTTGTTAGGATAACCATCCTAGACGTAGCTTTGCAAACCATCATAATATATAGAAATCTACACAAAGAGTATTATTATTTATTAATTAATCTTACTTTAAAATAAAATAAAATAATTTCTCTTAGGTGCACAATATAATTCTTTTTGTACGGAGTAGTGGATAGTGGATATACACTTGCGACTTTGCGAAGGCCACCTTGCAAAAAAGTAAAAGAACATCAATATCAAAACTACTTGTTTATAATTTAAAATTAATGACCTAAATATAAAGGCTTAGATGTATATATTCCGTTCAATACAGACAAGCTAGATCTTAGATAATCTATTGGCTCTTAGATATAAAGATATATTTTTCTAGACGTTTAATTTGCTTAAAAAAAATTCTAGATAATGGAAATGGAACACTACGTATAGAAAAATAAGGTATTAAGGAATATGTTTGTATATTGTTGCCCAAAACCAAAAGTTGAAGGTACTATGTGCTTTGTTTCAGCTTATGTCCATAGACTTGGGTATGAATCTTGTACAGCCGCTACACAGGTATGTATATCAATTTGGATTAGTGATGAATTTAGGATCCTAAAGGGGTACATAGAGGTATATTTGTATCCCCATTCCACCAAAAAAAAAAAAAAATTGATAACAAACAGATCGTCCGTAGCATAAGGATTACAACAGATCTCTTAGATACTGTTATATAGGCAAATCGAGCAACATCAGCCACCAGACCAGTTCTCTTGTTATTTTGTTAAGAGATCAGTTGTTAAAATCTAGGTCTCTTAATTAGATGTTATTTATGTGTTATGCTAAATCAGTTGGTTTTCTTATTAAAAAAACTTGCTTTCACAGACAAAAAACTTGCTTTCACAGACAAAAGGTCTCTTAGATAATCATTTTTTCACACACAAACATGTTGGGTTACTCCTTTATAAACCTCGTTGCTGAAGGATAGGCACATCAAACACACAAAGACTAATATATACTACCTCCGTTTGTTTTTAGTTGACACGTTTTGACTTTAGCACTATTCATACACTCCCTTTTGACAGTGTTTTGTGCTTTTATACGTAATGAAAAATATAGTTATGTGTGATCTTGTTAGATTCGTCATGATATATATTTTTAAAAAATCTACTTTTCATAATTTTTGTTTATCGGTAATTAAAGATATATATTAATGATTTAATTTGTGTATTGATAAACATGAATAAAGAAACGTGTCAACTAAAAAGAAACAGATGAAGTATTATAGTGGAATGAATTAATAACTCAAATTTTAGTTGACAAAAAATGATAATGCTCCACATATTACTTTGTATTTCTTATTAAGCTTAATTTTGCTCCATATCCCCTAGATCCGCAATGGTTTGGATATGTATTTGCAAATTAACAAGTTTTAAT